GCACCAAGGTAGGTAGCTAATTATTTAAGTTAAATATTTAGGTGGCTAGCTAAATATTTAAGTTGCAACCTAAACATTTAGCTCAAAACTAAATATTTAAGTCACAAGTTAAATATTTAGCTTGTTAACTAAATATTTAATTTATAAGTTAAATATTTAGTTTATAAACTATGACTTTTATAAATGTATAAATCAAGTGATGAATAACTGACTTTGAAAAATAAATCTGTTTCTTTTTTTTTCTTATAAAAGGTTAAATAAAACAAAACTATTGTTGGTAATTTTTGACTGAGTAACTTTACAAACGCAGCCCCTAAGCTGTGGTGGTCCTGAGCCGTGCTGAGGACAGGTGAACAAGTTTAGAGCAGACTGGATCCAGAAAATCATCAGAACCTTTCGCTCCTTCATGTCGCGCGTCAGACTGGTGCTTCACTGCAGCCTGTGGCCCGGTGCACGGACTGAACCACCGGGCCTCTGACCTGCGTCTGGGCCGCTGGTTGAGCTCGTGGGCCGGTACCAGGTTCGGCTCGGTGMCGCCCGCGTCTTCTCTGTTATTCACGTAACGTAGCAACACGTTCCTGAAGTTCTGTGCAGGGCACGGATTACTAAACTGAGCGCACAGATTACTAAACTGAGCGCACGGATTACTAAACTGAGCGCACAGATTACTAAACTGAGCGCACGGATTACTAAACTGTGCTCACGGTTTCTGCAATTCGTGTGCACGGATTACTGATATCTGGAGGGTGGTTGTGTGAACTGTGGTTCATCAACTCGGTCATCGGTCAACCGTCAACTTTCATCGGTCGGACCAGATCTGTCTGTGTAGGTAACGGTTGGTTCGGGCGGGTTGAGTCGGTCGGGTCAGGTGACGTGCCGGGGAATGGATCAAGCTGAAAAGCCTCCACCTCGAAAGCTGCTCTTGATTTTTCATTAAAAAAAATTACAATTAAAACCTTAATCAATAAAAACAATATACAGATAATTTCTGTAGAGAAGGATGCGATCTTACACAACGCACCTGGATCTTCAGTGCTCCGTAGATTCTGAACAAGGCTCGGATGGACAGGTTCAGTCTGCCGGTTCTGACGGGTCGGATGGGCTGGACTCGTACCTGGGTCTGACTGAAACCCGTGCCTGTGGAAAGTGACTGTGTTTTTAATTAAATTAATCAATTAATTAATAAAATATAATAAACACAAAACAAATAAAATAATTCATGTACAGAGAGTGCAAATCTGACGTAATTCATCAGGCAGATTTAAATCATCCCATTCTAGGTAAGAGAAAAAAAAATACCTTTTTTAGAACTAGACAACTTTTTTTAAAATTCTGTTTTTTAAGTGAAAAAAAGATCATTCTCACCATTTTCAGTAGCTTTATGGGGAGCGATCAAAGGCATTCTTATTCATCAAAGCACAGTTTTTGAAAGTGCGTGTTTTTGAAAGTCAAAATGAACTTTTTTCTGACTGAATGTAGGTGGGTCAAGCAGAGACAGACACAGAGAGAGAGAGAGAGAGAGAGAGAGAGAGAGAGAGAGAGAGAGAGAGAGAGAGAG